AATAAAGCCATTGAATCAGAGACAAAAAGAGGAGTCAAGACCACATACATGACTGCAGTAAGAATTATAAGAGAGCACTTCTTCTAAAACTTCAATGACAAAACCAAAAGATAGAAGACAGAAAATACATGATTGCACAAGATAATCAGGATGTTCTCCTGTAGAATGTAAGCTCGAATTGGAAGGTTTTCGCGGCATGATCCATTCAAGAATGATCAAGTGAAGGAAGACTGAGTTCTCCACTTTGAAACCAGAAGAAGAAATGATGATTAATATTTCTGCATACAAGAACATCATATATTAAATATCCATTGCATTCACATTTTATGCATTACTGCATATTTTTACAAATCTTTCAAAAAAAAAGAAGAGAATGAAGAAAAAACATAATTCAAGCCTCAAATGGAAGGAATTTTGTTCAAAGTGGCTAAGCCTCAAGGATCAAGGAGCCTAATCAGTAGAACAATCATTACTTTGAAGTGGGGCATGTCACCCATTTTATATAATGGTTTCAAAGGAATTTTTAAAGAAACTAAGTTTGATTTTCAAAGGTTTCTTCTTAAGTAAACCCTTCGGGTCACTACATTGGTGGAACAATAATGAACACCTAACAAAGATAAAGAAGCAAAGATTTACAAGACAGTGGAGCTCGTAATGCTAAAATGACATCATGCATATTCAGGCATTCGCAGAATATGAGCATACACATTATTCCTAACAACATTAAATGTTTGACAAGAATTCAAAAGATCAACAAATATCAAATTTCACAACTTCAATAGAAAGAATATGATTTCAACAAAGATTCAGTCCACCTTTTCACTATTGAAAGAAATGGATCTCAGTAAAGAATTAGAGCACTACTGACACATGATAATCTGTTTCTAGGTTTAAAATTCTTCATCCATCGCACAAGTAGTTTTGTAATGTTTTAAATGTGTATATGTAATTGATAAATTTTATATTGATGAAAGCTTAGATTTTTACGAGTTTATACATATTTTTACGAAAGTTATTGTAGTTGTATTGTAGCAGTGCATCGATGTACTGTAGCAGTACATCGATACACAATTTATATTTGAAATTTTTCACTGTTCTAGGTACTGTTCATGATACTATTCACGGTATTGTTCATATCGTATTGTATTGTTCATAAATACGTTTTTTCTCTTAATTTTTATAATGAACTATAATTTAATAGAATATTATTGTATTTTCTTAATATAAGTTCAAATGTTTTGATATTTTGTAAGAATATTGTTTTAAAAAGTCAATGTGACATCTCGAACCCATATTCAGGTTGGGTACTGGTTGGTGGTGTTACACAAATACTATCCGACAAAAATTTTATTGTTTAAATAAAGGTGTTGAATTAATTCAGGATATTAACTCAATTTAGAATAAAATATTTTATATAGATATATTAAAATTAAAAATATATATTTTAGGCACAAACCAAGCAACCTTACTGATAAAGGAACTATTGTTATTCTTTGAGATCCGGGTTCGAGCACCAAGAATGACAAGGGTATAAATGTTCAATTTCAAATAGTTGATAATTAACTTTGAATAAATACTACATTATACTTCCCTGAATTAATAAAAAAATATTTTAGATAAAAAGTTATATTTTGAAATATTAAATAAATGAATATTTATTAATAGAGTGGTAAAAATTTTTATACAAACTCTTTTGATTATGTGTTCGAATCTTAATAAATACTAGTTTTATATTTTTATTTAAATATTTAAAAAAATAGAAAGAAAAAAAACTTCAAAAATAATGTTTATTATAATTAAAAAAAGATATGATTTGTTAATCATTTCTCAGTTGAATTGATTTAATTTAACTTGTAAATCAATTCATTCAAAGGTTAAATATATATATATCAAATAGACAATATGTAGTTTTTATATTTTTATTGAAATATTTTAAAATTTTAGAAAGATAAAAACACATAAAAAAAAGAATGTTTATTATAATTTTAAAAATATGATGCGTTAATCATTTCTCAATTGAATTGATTTAATTTGACTTGTAAACTAATTCAATCAAAGATGATATATAAATCAAATATACAATAGGAGGGGCCTAACCTCTTTTATTTATTTTAAATATCTGATAATATTTTACTAGTAAGATTTTCATTTTTAGTGTTACAATTATTAATATTTAATTAAACTTTCTTGTAAAAAATAAACTTTATATTCATATTAATTATTTTAAATTAATTACCGTTTACCAAATTTTTTAATTTATTACAATTTATTAGTGTAGCATAATGAAGTCATATTTAGCCGTATAAATAGATGACTAACAAATTATTATCAATTGAATAACATCTAAATATTCCCTAAAAATATGGTTTGAGTATTAGAGTATTTAATAAGCTTATATTCTGATTAAAATGCTATAAAGGTAAAGAGAAAGGTAGAGATGTACATCAGCAGTTTGTACGGCCACAAGTTTTAAAGATATAAAGTTGAATATATAAGAAAAGGAATTGTGCACAAAGAAAAGATGGGATAAGAATTGAAGGTATGAAAGATGTATAATAACGTCTAAGGTTTGGTTTGTGGCATCATACGAGGCATGCCAAAGCAAAGCAAAAGCACAGGCCACGAATCATTTACCTATACATCTAAAAACATACTCAAATTTAAAGAGATAAATTCTAAAAATTCTAAAAACAAATAAATCTATAGAATTTTAAGAGACGAAGATAAATTATTAACAATAAATAAAAATATCTAAAAAAAGATATTTTGTTAATGTTTATCTACAATTACTGAAAAATCTGACCTCATCCATGACCTAACCAGTCATTTTCATGGAGCCAATCTCAATCTATTTTTATATTAGGAGGGAAAAAGAGAATAATTCCTTTATGAATGTTAACATTTGCCCTGGGGATTGTGACATTATTTGTCCACCAAAAATTGGCAACAGCCAGGTTTAACACTTGTATATGCCATTGCAGGACCTGCACGATAAAATTTTATGTTGATGAACGAATTTTTAACTTTTTAAGAGAAGATAAATTTATAAAATTCTAGGAGATGAGAATAGATTATAAATGGAAAATAGAAAAAATTAAAATATATGGTAATTTGAAATTTTTAAGGAACATATTAGGTATGACTCATATACCAGTTGGATGACATATGCTGGAGCGGAGTGAACGAATAATAATTACCAAACCTCATTAATTACGGTACGGGGCATTTTTGTAATTGTACTGGGATTACTCTTATATACTGTAATTGTAACATAATTTTGGATTATTGCGAATAATAAAGAGAACAACCGCTCATCTCTCACGAGAACGTAGGCACATTATTAAACTTCGTTAAATCTTGTGTTATTTATTTACTTTATTGTTTGTTGATTTTTTTGAGTTAATTAGCTCGTATTCACAACAGGACAACTGCTCCTTGATACTTGAGTCCATCTTTGTTCATATATGTATATAAATTAAAGCAAACAAGAGGGGAATCACCTTTGAGAAAGCAAGCTTAGGTCTTGGACATTATGGTACAAATGCAAAGCAAAATCTGGCTTTCTTTTTGCCATCTCATTACCCAGCCAGCTTTACATACTTTCACTTGTGTGTCGAGTTGTTTCCTTGCTAGATTAAAGCACTACAACAAAAAAGAGTTTTAGCGGCGTTTTTTAGTCCTATAGCGACGTTTTTAAGTGCCGCTAAAAGAACTTGCAGCGATTGGAAAAACGTCGCAAAAAGCGCCGCTAAAGTTAGCGGCATTTGAGAACAAAAAACGCCGCAATAGATCAAGATCTATTGCGGTGTTTTCGGATCAAACGCCGTAAAAGGTCAGATTTATAGTGGCATTTTTGCAAAAGGTCAGATCTATAGTGGCGTTTTTGGATACAAACGCCGCAAAAGGTCAGTTATATAACGACGTTTTTGCATACAAACGCCGCAAAATGTCAGATCTATAGTAGCGTTTTTGGATACAAACGCCGCAAAAGGTCAGATCTAGCACTATGTTAGTGGCATTCTCCCCTAAAACGCCGCTAATCGAAATTGATTTTCAACATATCTTCTTCCAATTTTGTATTACCCAAATTGAACCTATAACAATATCCAATAATCATCTTAAATTTCATTACGATTCTAATTAAGTAAGAATACATAAAAAAAATCAAAGTTTACAAACATCCAAGTTAAATAAATAAATCTTCGGTGGGTACTGAAACATCAATCTAGACGTAACATAAGTTTAGACACCAAAATACTTCTTAAGTAAGAGAAGGTTTAGGACAGTTGATTAATACACAAAAAAGTCCTACCAACACTAAGAAACACATGATATATGAATGTCCTCAAGACCAGCAACCAGAAATTTGCTACTTAAAGCCTCTCCAGTAATCCATCCACAATATCATTCCTACAAAATTCAAATCGAAGAATTAAATGGTAAACAATTAGAACAACTTCTTGTAAATGTAATTTTACTAAAAAAGATTGAACAATTATAACAACATTATTCAAATACTAAGCTAAAATGAGAAAATTCATTTAAAAATGATAAAATTCCAAACAAACTCAAACATACATCAATAGCAGATGCATCTTCACTGGGAGCAAAACTTGCAGCAGCCCGCAATGCCTTTGCCTTCTGATCTACTTCCTCGTACGAACACTATGCAAAACGAATAATTTTTTAAAAAAATATATACATTTTTAATCATATTAAAAACCCACATTTAAATTGTAATATAAATTAAATCACAAATGACACAATCTTAATCAAAAGGAAAAAGACTTACTGTAAGAGAGATAACCAACATAACCAGTAGTTCCTGTAATAGCCGCGATGAGTCCGTACTTGAAAAATGGTTAATGCTTTTATAATCTTTGTGACCATAAATTAGGATTATTGAATAAGGAAATAAAAAAATATTTAAGAAAAATAAATATTCTAATATAAATTCATAAGGATAAAGAATCAATATTTAAATTAGTAAATTCCTAAAATCAAGTATCAAACTTCTTGCTTTGCATCTCCTTCTTATAAGTAAATGAATCCTGCATAACTGAAGCATATGCCCCATGATCCATACCTAGCAAAAAATGACAGCACAAAGCAAGTTCTTCAGCAATGGATACTGAGATTGCCATGTTGAAGAATTGCTCGAAGTAGCAGAATCTGTAAAGACAAATAATTACAAAGTAAACACGTAAAAGATATAGATTATGGAATAGTTCTAAACGAACCAGGAGCCATCTTCTGCCTGCATCTTTTCGATAAACCCAACAGCTCTACCAATACAATTTTGAATTTCTTCTGTTCTATGTTCAGGATATAATTTCCTGAATGAGGCTAGTGCCTGAATTGCTGCTGAGGTGCATTCAACATATAATTGCTTACACAGGTGAATAGTTGTTTGAACCTCCTGATTCTCATCTATATTTAGTTTCTCTTTCAAAGTAGCATAGTCTGGAAGGATGTATTGGCTTGAACCCTAAAGAGATTCGTATTCGACTTGGCATTAAGTGAAGAGATCGAAATATAGAGGCCTTAGGCATTGTTTTGCATTCTTACCTGGATATTTGATATAATTCATGTCCGCATAAGCTCCTGCAAACAGGATCTTAAAATTTCGTAACGAGCTTGAAGAGTTGAAGGACCCACATATGCTTTGATATCGGCTCTGTTAACAAATGCAATATCTGCAACGCTAGTAGTAAATTTATACATTCCCAAAGGGTGGATTCTTCTCCAGCCTAATATTTCAGGACTGGTTCCATCAGTAAATATGAAAAATGTAAAATATCTTTCAGTACGTTAAATGAGAGGACTGATAAAAGTTTCTAACAGTTGAAGATTCCAATACTGAATCCACAAGGAGATAATGGCAAATTACCATGTAAATACCATACATTTCAGAATAACGAACCAATGTGAAATGGATTATAGGCTTACCAATAGCAGCAGTTATATTGGACATAGTCGTAATTATAACATTGGGAGCTAATTTCAGATTATCCATCTGAGTTAATAGCGCATTTACAACCTGAGGTACATTTTCAAGTTGTATCCCGTCTAAAGTTGAGGTAAATATACTCGCATAAAGATGTGCATTTAAGAGAAAAAATATAAAGAAGTTTAATTGCTTGCACAAAACTGTTACCCGAATGGAACCTGAAGGTTCAGAACCAGACAAAGCAACATTTCTAGCAACAGCAAGACTTTCAACTTCATCTGCAGTAGCAGCAGTAGCATATATCTAAAGAGTCATAAGCTAGGAAGACCAGAAATGATCAAAACCCTAACTTCGGTAATAAAAGACTCACCAATTAGAACAAATACCAGATTGTGTTCTTCCTCCATCATTTCTTGAATTTTTTGGAAAAGCTTTGCAACCTAAAGTTTAGGAACAGAGTTAAGAATGTAAACTACATACCATTAACATCCAGGACGTCATGATACTTTGTCCATAAGTTCAAAAATTGATACAGAACATACCAACTTGCCACTCTCAGAGAACCATTTACTAAACAATGAATGTGCATTAACTTCGATTAATTGACACTGTGGGTATCTGAATAAAGAATGGTAAGCCAAAAATAAAATCAACTAGAACTAACCATTTCACAAGCTAATGTATAAGGTCGTAAAGTGATATATGCTTTGGGCACATAAATTAACAAAAGACCTGAAGCTGAATCTAATGAATAATTTTTGTGCCAGTGCTTTGCATAAAGATGTTTTTCCTGTCCCTGGAGGTCCATGTAAAAGAATAATGCTGCTGAAAAGAAAAATCATTGATCAGATTTTTGTGCTACTACTATTATCAATGCTTGTAATATCATGCAACAGGAGAACTGCCAAATTCCATGAAAATTTTGAATGTTGAAAAGTAAGCATGTATATTTATATAGATCATAGATGCGTAGTAAGCTCTCTCCTTCTCTACAGAGTTTTGCATCATCAAGAATACGAAATTATAACAAAGTCGTATTGTCAAGCAATAAGTATGAACATGTAAATATGCATAATGCTGAAAGATGGACAACAAGCTGATAATTAAAAAGCCAACATCCAGAATGTTCTATTTGAAGTTTTAGTCTTACTAGATAAGATTCCAACTATGAAAACCCCAACTGAACTCTAATCAGTTTGCTTATTACTAGATAAGGATCATCGTACTAGTTTTGAAAGAGAGAACCGACGCTTCATTTTCTTCTATTCTTTTTTGGAACAAAACGATACTACTTATTGAAAGAAATGAAGCCAAATCTGATAGAATTCTTCCAGGGAATTTGAGATAGGGTTTTATTGGGGACAGCTTACGATGAGGCGATGAGGAACTTTGAAAGTGCAGGAAACGAAACCAGGCTCGGCCCTGTCGACACGAGAGACGCTTAAGCAGAACTCATTGTAGAAGTTGCGCTCATAACCGACTCGGTGGGGGTGAACAAGCACGTACTTCATTTTCTCTCCTGATTCTGTCTCTTTGAAACTAAATGGAAATGGAAAAAGAAATGAGCAAAGAGAGTCGTATTTATAGCAGTGAGAAATAAGCAACAAAGCAAAGGGCGACCTTGCACTGATAAAACCAAAGTCCAAAGAAAAACAAAGCCACGAATCAAAATCAAAATCAAAATCAAAAGAACAACAACGACTGGTGACGATGTTAACGATAATTTCGCGAAATGAAAAACGAGGATTTGAAAGTTGGGGGAATGTGGATAAGGGAATCAAATCAGGATAGCATAAAAAAGGCAGTGACATAGATGGGTTTGGGTTTGGTAGTGAAGCAGATGGGTTTGGGTAAAAGATGGGATAGAAAAATGGGTCAAGGGGAAATGAAAAAAAGGTTAAAGGCGCGACACTTAAAAATTATAAATTTGCAGTGTTTGTAAACACAAACGCCACTAAAGTATGAGTCTATAGCGGCGTATGTATATAAACTCCACTAAAGTACAATTATATAGCGGGTTGTATAAAAACGCCACCAAAGTACAAGTGTATAGCGGCGTTTATATATAAACGCCACTAAATTACAAGTCTTTAGCGGCGTTTATAACACAAACGCCACTAAGTACAATTGTATAGCGGCGTTTGTATAAAAACTCCACTAAAGTACGAGCCTTTAGCGTCGTTTGTATAAAAACGCCATTAAAATACTACTGTGTTGCGGCGTTTGTTGAAAAATACCTCTATAAATGAACCTATGCGGCGTTTGTATAAAAACACCGCTAAAATACTACTCTATAGCGGTTTTTTCTTAAAACACCGCAAAAGTTACCATTTTGTGGCGTTTTCTATGTAAATGCCGCAATATATGTTTAAAATTCGTGACGTTTACTCCCAAAACGCCGCTAAAAACATCAGAACGTTGTAGTGAAGTCTGCAGCTTTCTGAAATCTTAGTGCCCATTCACTATTAACAGTACCAGTTGTTTTGGGATTTAGTGGGGCAAGGCAACTGTTGTGCTTTTGTCGCTTTTTGTTGTTATGAATTAGTTCGGATAGATAGTCAAATTTTAGTTTTAAGTAAATATAATTTCATAATTAACACATAAACTTATATTACTTAGACCTCAATAGAAGAGTCGGATATAACTAGATATTAATTTTTTGGGTAAAGTATATAAATGATCCCTTGACTATAGGATGTTGCTTTATTAAGTCCATGACTATTAAAAGTTACAAAATGGTCACCCAACTATTCTTTATGTTCCAAACATTTTCCCTTAAAAATTTGATGACAATCTGAGTGTACGTTAACCACTGACTGAGATATGATAAATTTGATCTCATAATCTCAAACGACTATCACATCTCAGTCAACATGTTAACGTCAAACTCAAATTACCGTTAACTTTTTAACGGAATATGATGAATTTGGAACATAATGAATAGTCGAGTGGAGCATTTTGTAACTTTTAGTAGTCGAGGGACTCAATAAATCAACTCACTATAGTTGAGGGATCAATTTGTAACTTTTAATAGTCAAGAGACTCAATAAAGTAGTATCTTATAGTTGGTGGACCATTTGTATACATTACCCTTATTATATATATATATATATAATATATATATATATATATCGAAGATCTTCGAAGATTTAGGGCCCGTTTGGTTCTAGAAAATATTTTCTATTTTTATTTTTAAAAAATAATTTTATTTTCAATGTTTTGAAAATTGGAAAACAAGTTGGTTAATATAAATAAAACTTGAATTCATAAATAAATAATTAAAATATATTTGGTATCTTTTTTAAATAGAGATGAAAAATAGTCATTAAATAATTATATTAAAAAATGATTATTAAAAGTTTTCATTACATAAATTTAATATGTGAGTTATACAAATATAAAATAATAAAGTTGATAAGAAATTTTATAACACAAAAACTATTTTAGTTTATAATAAGAATATACTGTTAATGCATATTGGACATCAATTAGATTAAAAAAATACACAAAAAATTGTTGCAAACAAGAGCACACATAAGTGTCGTTAAAATAAAAAAATATGTTTAGTAGTATATAAGACCCTCAAACTTTTTGGGGAAAAAATAGTATAGCCCTTGAACCTTTTTTATACTTAATCCTTAAACTGAGAAAACATCAATCAAATCATTTGACTAACAATATCAAACGTTGAAAGTCACAAAACTTGTATGAAAATTCATAAAGCTTACATGACAATATGCAATAATGATGTGATAGTTCTGATACTATTGTGGTAGTACATGAAGTACGATAATGTGATAGATGGTCTTTATTGATTTTTTTGGCTAAGTTTAAGGGTCTAATTGATTCTTTTAGAAATTTTAAGGACTTGATTAATTTTAAAAAATTTATTTAAATTTAAAATATAAAATATAGACAATTTTAAGATATTTTATAAATCAAATATAAAAGTACTAAAAGTTAAATTATATAAAAATTAGTGTAATGACCAAATTGAGTGTAAAAAAGTTTAGGGGTGTCGGAACCGTCTTTCGGTTGGGCCCCGGAATTGGGCTTCGACTTAGGAAAAATGTGGATTGGGAGTCGCCACCGACCACTTTAAAACGAATTTAGGTAGATCGGACACCATCTTACCTAATCTGCGTTATACCAGAAACGTGTCGGGTTCGGGAGTCAATTACGGTCAATGAAGGATTAGCACCCTTGAACCACCCTTTCGGTACCAATTAATTTATCGATTGTCTTAATTGCGAAAATTAAAATTAAAATTTAAAACATTCGATTCAAATTCATTACCTTTGATCGATTGGAATTCTTCTAAAAGAGCCGAAAATGTTAGATAATGAATAATAAAAAAATAATAAAATAAAAAAACATAATAGTTGGCAGGAAATTGGTGAACCTGGACATGTGTCCCTAAAGCCATGGCATTTGATTCCCGTGGATAAGGTCTGCTGCTTGCAAGCCAAATATATTAACTCCGAGAATCTCACCATTGTCGGGTCTGTATATCAACTTAGCAGTCCATCCCTTCATTTTCTGCCAGAGCCTTCGTGTTAGCCTTGAAACTTGTTTTGGTAACACTCACTTCAAATCCTTCGCTCTCGGCTTTTTCCCTCGGTTGAGGCTTTGTCAACCCAACCATACTTATTTCGGGGTGAGTGAAGCAGGCGTTTGCATCACCAATAAAGTACAAGTGAGGAACCAGACTGCCATTTGCGTCAATTACTCGCATCCTTTCGTCACAGGAATGAAACCCCTTTGTGTTACTACATTAATATTCTCCAAGCCGAGACCGTTGGTGAATGGAGCCCTTCCCGCTGCAATTGAGGCTGCATCTACCTCTTTGCGGTGGAAGTTGGTGGCATCTCAGACGGTGCATTTCAACGCTTCGATCGTTCCTTCTTCTCGCTAGGCATGAGCTCGCCGCACCCGTCGTAAATGTTCCCACCGATGCTGGCAGCGTGGTTCTTGAGACACTCCCGATACCTGACAACGCCGGACGACACTGGAGATCTTCCGGTATGGCTGAACGATTGTTGTTGCCTCTGCGGACCATGAGCATGGTCTAGGGTTTGAGTGCAAGTAAGAACAGCAGCACCATTATGGTTCCATCTCGAACTAGCGTCTTAATATCGTCTTCTTCACCTCTCACTTCCATAATTCAAGAAATATACAGTCCACTCAAAAAAAGAAAAGCTAAAAATGAAAGCTCGCTATTCAACTATTCATCCAAACTTTGAAACGTGTCTTCAAAGAGATGACGATGATGCAAGAAGCTTATCTAGATCCTTGTTCTTTTCCTCTTCCCCCTTTTCTCCATGATTTGTGGTTCAAATATGGCAAGGGTTGTTGTTGGTTGGTGTTACTTCGATTCGATGTTTCAAAATGGTGAAGTAACAAAGATGGTATTCCGAAGAAGAGAGCCGGATGCTGTAAGGCAACTACGGAGATAGGTTCCGTATAAGGAAACGATGCTGAGAAAAGTGGGTGCCATCCCGGTTCACCCCGGGTTCTTTCTCCTTCATTCCCCTGCCTTTTTCGTTTTCGTCCCCCCCTATTTTGCCAATCTCCCGTTGAAATAAATAACTCTGCCTCCAGCTTCCACTTTCATTTTTGAGAGAAAAGAAGGAAACATATGTGGATTTAGTTGAGACTGTGAGGTGGGGTTGGTTATGAGATAATGGTGGGTGGTGGATCCTTGTTAAATCTATAAAAACAATATATATATATATATATTATATATATATATATTAATAAATAAATAAATTATAATAATAAAAATAAATATATAAAACCCGGTTAAAAACGGTTGCCTACAAGGGGCTATATTAATTATTTT